GTTAACATTCCCAAAGATGAGCGAGCAAAGCTTGATGCAAAGACAAAGGAGTGTATATACCTTCGCTCACCCAAGGACGAATTTGGCTACCGGTTATGGGATCCAATCAACAAGAAGGTTATTCGCAGCAGAGATGTCATCTTCTTCGAAGACCAAATGATTGAAGATATTAAAAACTCGGAGAAGCCAAGATTGAGAAGTAGCAATAGGACTGAACCAACTCCAGTTCGGCATGAGAATGAAACACCTCAAGATAATGATGATGAAAACCATGAGCAAAACAACCAAGAGTCTCATGATGAATCAAATCAAGAAGATCCTCAATCTAGTTCTCTGCCAGCACCAGAGCCGAGGCGATCCTCTAGGGAGAAAAGACCATCCATCCGGTATAATACTGAGGACTACATTACACTCACGGATGAGGGGGAGCCGCAAAGTTACAAAGAAGCAATCAATAATATTCATAAAGAAGAGTGGAGAAAAGCCATGCAAGAAGAGATGCAATCCTTGCATGAGAATCACACTCATGAACTTGTGGAGCTGCCAAAAGGGAGAAGAGATAAGTGGGTATATCGAATCAAGATCGAAGATAGAAGCTTGAAGTCTCACTCTAAAGCTCGGTTCATCATCAAAGGATTCCAACAAGAAAAAGGCATGCACAATGAAGAGAAATTCTCTCCCATGGTAAAGATATTGCCGAGAAGTTCTCGAGAAAAGAAATTTCATCTTGACAAGGTTCACACAGACGAAAACTGGTCAGACATGATGACCATGGTAATACCAACAAACAAGTTCGAAGACTGCTGTCAAGGTGCAGGTTTGCTACTACCTCCCAATTAAGTCGGGAGGGGGAGATTTGTTGTGATCCCTCCTTAATTGGAGAGGTTCTAGAAAATTCTAGAGCTTTCTAGAGAAGTATAGAATTTTTTAGAACGTTCCGGAGAATCCTAGAGAAGTCTAGAACTCTCTAGAAGCTTGTGGAACAGTGTGGAATCCTCTAGAATATTCTAGAGATGTGTGGAACCTTCCAGAAGCCTATGGAAGAGTATGGAAGCATATGGAAAAGAATGGAGAGGTGTAGAGATTCCTTGGAATTCTCTAGAATAGGTAGTCATGTGTAGATCATTCTAGAGAACTACTCTCCACCACTCATTATGGAGGTGGAGTTGTATAAATAGGAGTAGGAGCCTCCATTCCTAACCATCCTAGCAAGAGTGAATCCACTTCTAGAGTGAGAAAGTTAGAGAGCCTCTTTGAGAGAGAAGAGAGATAGCTTGGGAAGACATCATCCTCAAGCTTGAGTGAGCCACCATTGAGTGAGACAATTTTGTAACATCCTTGTATACCCTACTATTCTTTTGTATAGTGGAAGAATCTCCATATTGGAGAATTTAAATCGTGTGCTCCCATTGCTACCTTATTTCCTAAGTGCCTATCTTAACTTCACGAAGCGGGAAAGTCCGGAGTGTTTTTTCCCAACAGTGGTATCAGAGCCAGGTTCACCTGAGATCGTCATTAGCTCGTGCAGTTCAAGATGGAGGATAACGTCGCTCATGATGGAGACATGTTCAAGCTCACCGCCAACAACTACTCATATTGGAAGCCGATGATGGAAGATCATTTATACTGCAAGGATTTGCATGAGCCCATCATCTACAAAGAGAAGGTTGAAGACAAGAGTGATGCCCAGTGGGAGCTACTGAATCGGAAGGCCGTTGCTATGATCCGTAAGTACATTGACAAATCTCTCTTCGAGCATGTTTCGACTTACACAAATGCTTATGAATTATGGACTAAGCTTGAGTCCATGATTCAAAAGAAGACACCTCGTAATAAGGCCAATTTAGTTCGACGGTTGGTGAAGTTGGAGTATAAGGATGGTCATAGTATGATTCAACACCTTAACAATTTCAAGGGGCTTGTAAATCAATTAACCAAAATTGAGATGAAGATTGATGACGAGTTGCAAGCCCTTCTACTCCTGAGTTCCTTGCCGGAAAGTTGGGACACACTTGTGGTTACGCTTAGTAACTCAGCTCCGGAAGGAAAGCTAACCATGGATACCGTCAGTGATAGTCTTCTTGGAGAAGAAGCAAGGAGAATGGAACGAGGTGAGTCAATCCATCCCGAGGCCAATGTTATTGAGAACCGGGGTAGGAATGAAACTCGTGGACGCAGTAAGTGCCGAGATCCATATCAATCTCGAGGAAGATCCAAGTCACGCTCGAAGATCACATGCTACTACTGTGGAAGATTGGGCCATAGGAAAATGGAGTGTCGATCCCTCAAGAGAGACCAAAAGGCCGGTAACGTCAAACCAGACCAAGTCAGCCCAACAAAGAAGCAAGAAGAGAAGAGTACCACTGCGGTGGTCGCAAAAGAAGATCTGCTATATCTTGTTGGAGAAGGTAATATTCTCAACATTGCTTGTGATGACAGCTCTTGGATTGTCGATTCTGGTGCTTCCTTCCATGTCACTCCCCATGGAAGTTTCTTCTCATCCTACCAAAGCGGTGACTTTGGCACGATTCAAATGGGAAACCAAAATAGAAGCAAGATTGTTGGGATAGGAGACATCGTCCTAACAACTAGCACCAGATGTAAGCTTGTTCTCAAGGATGTGAGGCATGTCCCGGCCATGCGCCTCAATCTTATCTCTGCTGGAAAGTTAGATGATGCTGGTCTGATGAACTACTTTGGTGAAGGAAAATGGAAGCTCACCAAAGGAAGTCTGGTCATGGCTCGAGGAAAGAAGGAAGGCTCATTGTACGTGATGCAAGCCAAGCTCTGCAAAGGGGAAGTAAATATAACCACTAATGACATGGAGGTATGGCACAAACGACTTGGACACATCGGTGAGAAGGGACTCCACATACTCGCTCGCAAGCATCTCCTCCCGGACATGAAAGGTAATTCACTCGATCCTTGTGCACATTGTTTAGCGGGAAAACAACATAAATGCTAAATGGAGATTTAGAATGTTAACTCTATCTTCATGAATGCTAAATATTTTAAATTTTTTACTTAACAACATAAATTTACATTTGTGAAAGAACAAAAAAATATGATCATGGTGCTAAGGTAACTTTTATATAAAGTTCGAGGTATACATACTACTACCTTCGTCCCGAAAAGGTTCGTCATATTGACTTTTCTTAGTTAATGATGACAAACTTTGGATAGTTATTTTAATTATTATATTTGTATATAATTTATAAATTTTATACTTTTATGAAAATATTTTGAATAAGGAACATTTTTATAATCAAAATAATTTTGTATTAAAAATATTACAGGCCAAAGTTGATTAACATTGACCAAGAAATATCAATGTTACATTTGGCCTATTTATCTCACACACGCTTTTAATGTTTGGGTTATTTAAATTATTTTTCTATTTTATAAAACAATACCTATTTAGTTATATTGCTCGCAATTTTATCCTTTTAAAATATGGCTCTCTTTAGGCGGTCCGCAATGGAGATTTGGAGAGGGGTGAAATCCCAAACATGAGGTTTTCATTGGAATTATGGTGCAACCCAAGTTTTTTGTTTTGTTTTAGAGGGTGCTAGAGTAGGTTGGGGACGGAACCTAGAGATGGAAAGCTACGACCCTCATTCACTCCAGAGAGAGGATGGTTTGATAGGCATGTCTTGAGACGACGCAACTAAGAATATATGTGGGGCCCATTTAAAACAAAAATCCCAATTTATGTTAAAGTGTCATAATTTTTTTATTTGTAATCTAATTTGTACAAAAAATATATCAAAATTCTCAGGTTTTTATGATTTTTCATATAACACCAATATTTCATATATAAAGTTTTAAATAAAAATTGAAGTTTCAATTACTAGAGATTTTCATACACAACATTTTTCTTAAGTATATTGAGAGCTAAAATTAAGATCCAAACATTTTTTTTTACATTTTTCTGTATTTTTTAAAATATAAAATAGGTCTGAAGTTATAAGAGAAAAAAAAGTTAAACTCCAAATTTATTTATTTATACATCGGAATGTTTGACTTTTTCAATAATAATTATTCACAAAAAAATATTGGCAAACGAATAATGTATATTAATAAAAGTAAGTATTTAATTAAATAAACTTTTCTGTGTGAGTATATTGGCGGTACTCGGTAGTGTATTGCAGAAACAAATTAAATTAACTGAGTGAATATTTAAAGTGATGGAGAATTTGATCTATTGACGGAGATAGTTTAGGTTAGCCTTATAAGTTTGTTTATCTCATGTTATTCGTATCATCGTATGAAAGAAAGCCTAGTAACCGGTGATCGTAGCTCAACTGGTAGATAGGGGGTGCCACAAAGGGGTAAGTCTCGGGTTCGAATCTCGACAACTGCGATGAGAGGTTACTATGCTAAAAATGCATAAAATCTATGCAAATAGCAAGAGTCAGAGCCTTACTTTCTATCTGTCAACTAACTATTAAACTCTAATTTATACTCCGTATCCACCAATCTAACTGTGTCGTCGGTGTTGGAGGGCCCAAGTATCCTTTTCCAAAAGTTGACTACTCACCTACGCACTAACGAAGCTACTAGGCTACTATACTCCTATAATCCTATACCCCACTTGTTCTTGATCTACGGTATTCCTAGGTAGCTATTACTTCCATCGTTTTAGTTTACTATTCTCCATTCAACCATTTTTTACTTAATAGCAAGTATATCTAACATTTATTAAATTTGAGTTTTTTTTGTGATTCTATAAAAAATACAATGTCATTTATGAATATGTAATTTTACTTACTAAACAAATCTAATTACGGATAAAGATCATTTAACTTAATAGTCAATCAAACATCGTCAATCGTGTGAGAATCTCTCTACGAGACTATCATATATGCACTCATTTAACTTAATAGTCAATCAAACATCGTAAATCGTGTGAGAACCTTTCTACGGGACTATCATATACGCACTCCATATGTAAATTATATTTCCACGTGAGAATTGAAGCTGCAAGTTGGTTGACGTCGGTTCAAGGTTTAGGAAGAATGGAGGCTAGCTAGCTAGCTAGACTATCATCAACGAGTACTATAAATTTGATCAAAGGAGTACATCATGATATTGCATGTAAGAAAAACCTACTCTTTGACATATTCAGTCTTTCTTTTAGTTTGTGAATTGGTTTCTCTCCTCTAGTCCTCTTCTCCCCAACAAAAGAATGGCTGCCAATAATATACCACCATTTTTAACCGGCCTTGATGAAAAAACACAGTTGCATGAAGCTACACGCCGTTCTGCCAACTATCATCCCAGCATTTGGGGAGACTTCTTCCTATCATTTTCTTCTCCACAAATGGTTAGCTACCTGACTTTATTTACTGTTAAAGAGATGTTAAATTGTTAATTATGTTGGATAGTAATATAGCATTACAGACAACAAGGCAACACTTCTTAAATGACATGCTTTAGCTTCACATGCGTAATACTCTTTCCTCCGTCCCTAAAAGAACTTAAATGACTTTTAAACTCTTATTTTTATATGTCAAAATTTTATGAAAATTAAATCATTTTTTGCAGGTTTTGAATCGATTTTAATGTAGTTTTTGAATATGTAAATTTTATTTACTAAAAATAATTCGAGTTTTCACAAGGATCATTTAACTTTATAGCTGGTCAAACTTCGTAACCCGCAATTGAAATAACATTTAGGGATGGGGTAGTAAATTGCATTCTTAAATATTCAAGCACAAACTTTATCCATAATGGACCTCCAAAGGTGCATATCGTTCATTTCTATTGCGTAATCACATTATTTCTAACTTGAGTTACCTTTTTAATCATTACTATAACATAGATTATACTTCCCGCGTCCCCAAAAGTTCCTCAATTTGACTTTTCTTGGTTAATGACAATCAACTTTGACCAATGATATTTTTTAATACAAAATTATTTTGAATATGAAAATTATATCAAAATGTTCCTATTTAAAATATTTTCATAAAAGTAAAAAATTTATAGATTATATACGAATATAATAATTATTAAAATGATTGTCCAAAGTTTGACATCATTGACTAAGAAAAGTCAATATGGTGAACCTTTTCGGGATGAATGTAGTAGTAATTTTTATTTTAAATACTCTGTATTATATTAATGTATCCTCTCAACATTTGTCAATAAATTTTCAACAATCTATGACCTAACTAGTTTTTCAAAAACTAGAGATAATTACCCTAGGTGTGACTAAAATTTATTTAGTTTCCCAATCTATGACTTAACTAGTTTTCCCCCCAAAATAATATTAATACTCATAATATTTAATTAAAATTCGTAATTAATAAATAATAAACAATTTTTATGGACAAATATACCCTTTAGCTTATACCTATAAAACCTTAACCTCCTACCTATTTTTTTCAACCCTAGCCAGAACCTCCCAACGTCCACCCGCGAAGCCGCCCCGCCATCTAGCCACCGCCCACCTTCCAGCGACGCCTTCTTCCACAAAACTCCGGCATGTGAGCAAAGTCGCCGGCCCAGAACTCCGGCATGGCCTGGGGAAGGTGTCCGCCCGGTCTGAGTGCCAAGACGCCGTTCGACGTGAATCTGTTGCCCGCCGCCCAGCCACCGCTTGTCGTACACCTCCGTTCGCAGATGAGCCGTCCCACAACTTCCTCTCCATCTCCAGCGTGGTTAACAAGCCTTGCAGATTTGTGCGCCGCAGTCCAAATCTAGTAAACGAGCCGTGCAGATCCACACCAATTTAAGGGGAAAAACCTAAAACTTATTTTAGAAAAAGAGTGGAGGAGTCGATTTAGATTTTAGGTATTTCCCTTCCATACTAGGATTTGCTTTTCCTAATGGGATCTGCGTAGATTTTTTTTTAGCATCAAAACATGCCTCTATTCATATCAAAAGATTCATCATGATCACTACATCAAGCAGAGGGAAAATAAAACAGACACCAACTGAAACTCCAACAACTATGAATGTAACCCTATGGTGAGACTTTGAGACGGTCACCTCTGAGAGAGCAACACGAATCGCTAACCATGTAGTGGGCTTGACACAGCCAAAACTATTCCCATAGATCCAACCATACCCAATGACATAAAGAGAGGCAAAAAACTCAAACAAACTGTCAAACCCAACAACAAGAATGGACGCAAGAAAACAAATAACAAGAAGATAAAAACTACAAGAAAAACGTTCACGAACTCTAGCACCTCGTGCATCCCATGGTGGTGGTTCAGGAGGAGGTCGTACCACTGGTACCATGCTAATTGATCCACCATGACCTTTGACTACCAAAGACCATGCATCAATCCTCGATCCGTCCCTGCATAACCAAACTCATCCCTGCTCCGTGCGACCAGAGTAAGCGGACAGGCAGCGCCGATCTTCTCCAACGATGACAGCAACGCCGCATCCTCGAAACTTGACCACAACGCCGATCTCCTCGAGCCATGACAACAAATCTGCCCTCCTCCACCGATCTCCGCCCTCCGCGTCTGACCTGGACTCCAGTCGAGCACCAGCGACCAAGGGATAACAAAGTCGATCTTCGATAAAGTCGAAATCGGAAAAAGGCTCCAGCGGCTGACATAGTCAAAGCCCTAGAGAGAAAAACTCGTGATCACTCTACCTTAGCCAAAAGCAGACCACTGCTCCGCGGCCAGATATGCGAACAAGAACAGCCGAACTTCGATCAATATGATCGAATTCGAAAAAAAAGCCTAGAGGCGGCTGCCCTAGGAGGCGAGGAGAAACATCTGCGTAGATTTTAAAAAGACTATTTTTGCATAGGTTTAAATATGATTTTAGTCCCTGCGAATATAGTACATTTTGTTTTACATCGCTACAAAATTATTTTTTTGTTTTTCGTCCCTGCAATTTATGTTAGATTTCGTTTTAGTCCATCACCGATAACAACCTCCGTTTGACCTCAAAATAATCCCAATCATTAGGTTTCCTCTAATTCTTTGTCATGTTATTCACAAAATATTTAATTTTATTTTTTGGAAGGCTTTTAATATATATTTTTAAAATGTGAATACTTAGTTTTACATGATTTTATCTCTCATAATAACCTCAAAAAAATTATAAAAGGACACAATCAGATATTTCTAATAGGTTAATGCAACTGACAATAATTTTTTTCTATGTAGAGTGATTTTGGAATTAGAGAAGGACTAAAAACAAAATAGTGCATATTACAGGGATGAAAAACAAAAAAATATTTTGCAGGTACCTAAAACAAAGTGTGTCATATTTGCAAGGACTAAAAACGTATTTAAACGTTTTGCATAATACAAAGTATTATATCTTATACTCTATATTACAAAATTGCTCCTAAATGAATAACTTTTCTTGCTTTCAGATCTCATTCAATAATTCAATTTTCTCAATTCCAAATTGTGTGATTTTGTTTCAAATGTTCGGTCTTTCTTCTTGTTGCTTTGTTAAGATCTTCTTCGTTCAATTTAGGGTTTGTAAGCATTAAACATGGACATTGAATATTTGCAGTGAATATATAACAATAGATATGTTGTACATGACAGTGAATGAAATGCATTAATGAAGTTTGTTGTGCAGTGATTATGACCAGAAGTGTAGTAACGCAGATCAGTAATGCAACCATTAAATGCAATATACTTAATTAGATGTAAAATAAAAAACATATTAAATCTAAAAAATAAATAATCAAATCTATAAATAAATTTCTAAAGTGAATGAAAAGGTGAATTAATTTTGGCGGAAGTGTAGTGATAATCACTGGATGTGCAGTAAAGTCGTGCATTAATGTCGTGCAGTAAAATCAATATAAAGTGCAATAATTTTAATTGGACGAAATTAGTGCAAAATGCACTTATTTTAAATAAGAGTATTTTTGTCATTCAACCTTTAAATATATACGATTTTTTTTTTCGATCATACTAAAGTCTAAAAACTAGTTAGGTCATAGATTGGGAAACTCATTGAGTTTTAGTCCTACCCTAGGAAATTTCTCTAAAAACTATTCCAAAAAACCTTTCGATATGTAAAGGAAAACGAAAGGTGAATTGAAGTCTATAATTTATATGCAGGACAAAAATACCAAAGATTTGCAAGAAGATCATGAACAACTAAAGCAAAAGGTGAGGAACATGCTTGTTGAGGATCCCGACATTTCATTGCGGAAACTAGAATTGATTAACAACGTCCAACGGTTAGGAGTGAGTTATCATTTCGAAAAGGAGGTTAGAGCAATCCTGCAAAAAACATTTGAGGTCAACGATGACCTTAATGCCAAGGACATAGAGGCGGATGATCTTCATGTCATTTCTCTTCGCTTTCGACTACTTAGACAAGAAGCGTATTATGCATCTACCGGTAAGTAGAGATAAGCTTTTTCAAAAAGCTTTCGACTACTTTAGGCAATTTCGGCCGACCCGTTGGATACCCGCACCGAACCGATTTGGTCAAACTGGGGAAAACCGGTTTGACCGGGGAATGGGTACGGGGCGGGGAATACCCGAATTTTTTAAAGGGTTAATGGTGCGGTTATGGTTCTATACTAATTCGCCCCGTTATCCGCCCCGAAACCGCCCCGTTCACTAATGGTGCGGGTACCCGCACCGTTACCTGATCCGTAACATTATTAATGAATTATAACTTTTTATATATAAGAATAATAAGTATATATGCTAAATTGTGTATACTAAATAGTATATATACAGAGTACGAGTATCATATAAATAATGCTAAAAAGTATACTACGAGTACTTTTTTAGGCCTAAAACTAAATATAGGCCTAAACTTGATTTTGGAATTTGGATTCTGGGATGATTACTATTTTTTTATTATGTTACAAGAGATATTAGGTGCATGTCATACTAATGAATTTAGGCCAGTCTGTTAGATTGCTTAAATATTTACTTTTGTATGATTTAGGGTGCTTTGAATATATAAATAACAAATAGGATTAGAAATTGGTTATTTGTTTTCCAAAAAAAATAGTTTTATGGTATCATTTGGGGAAACGGTTACCCGTGGATAAACCGATTCCCCGTTGGGGCGGGTACGGTTCAAATAAAAATTACCTGAACGGGTAATGGGGCGGTTTTGGGGCAAACATTTATCCAACGGGGCGGTTTCGGTTTTATGTGTACCCGTCCCCGATCCGCCCCGTTGCCATCACTACCGGTAAGTGTGTTAGTGTGGTAGTCTAATAACATATAGTCCCTCTGTTCCCTTTTAAATGTCTCGTTTTACAATATTGGGATGTCTCTATTTAAATGTCTCATACTGATACACTTGTAATTTCCGTGTGTATGTTTATGTTTTTAGCTAGTTTTAATTGTTTAATATTTCGGAAATTACACACTTTTGGTGTAATAGTCATGTTTGTAAAATAGTTGTAATATGTTTAGATTAGGTCCATTCTGAGTTTAAACAGGTCCAAGATCAATCCAATGATCATTGGTGAAGGAAGGTGCAAGAGTACAAGACAAAAAGAAGGCAAAATCCTGATTTTTGACCTATACTCGATCGAGTATAGCATATACTCGATCGAGTATCTTGTTGAGATTTCAAATCGGATCGGATCTGAAAACAAAGGAACATGCAGGGAAGATTTTGACCACGATCGAGTGTCGATACTCGATCGAGTACACCGACATACTCGATCGGGTATGACTATAAATTATACTCTGAATTCGGTCGAGTATGGGTCAAATTCAAGTTTCTACTCATACTCGATCGAGTATATATACATACTCGATCGAGTATGCCTTTAATTTTAAACCTGAAATCGATCGAGTATACCTCGAATTTGCATTTCTACACATACTCGACCGAGTATCTTTATATACTCGATCGAGTACCCGAGCTGCACTCCCAAAAAGCCTATAAATACACCCCCTTTCCTTCACAATATGATACCAATTCATATACTCTCTTAAGCTCAGTTTAGAATAGTATTTCTTTATATTTTTCATCATGTTTAGTCTCCAAATGAGGAGCTAAACTCTTCCATCTTGGTTTTGCTACTTTGAAGCTTAATGAATTTGTAAGTTGTGAGTTATTCTCTTTAATCTTCTTCCTTGAATATTAATTCTTCCTTTAAATACTATTTCTATATCAATGTTGGGGAGTGTTACTAAGATGACAATTAGTTAACATCTTGACATTAGTTATAGTAATAATTATTTCTTCCTCTACGTTAATATTGGGGAGTGTTACTAAGATGACAATTAGTTAACATCTTGATATTAACTATAGTAGGATTCATCTTCTTTAATATTCTTTCTTGAGTATTAATTAATTCCTATTCATATTTCATATTAATATTTTGAACATTACTTAAAGGATCAACTAGTTTTGTTTCATATATTAATTAATACTAGAATCGGTCGATTAATACGCTTGTTATTAATTCGGTCCTTTCATGGTAGTAAACTTGGATTATTAATGCATGCATCTCATGGTTAATAATCTAAGGGGAATTAATTATATTGATTAAACCAATAAACCGCTTGTGTTGAAGTTATCAATCTCAATCGTTTTCATCTTAAGTTTATTGCTACTATCAATTTAATATACGGCGCTTGTTCTATATTGACTCGATAGTAAGTTTTATTAATGAACGCTTCTCGTTATTAATAACTACCCTCGATGAACTGGATATACTCCTCGATTGAGTATTCGAGAGGAAGATAGTTAAAGATATAACCGAGATCGACGAACATTTCATTAAGTGGATAAAAGCAAAGCCAAGTCTTCTTCTCATTAATTAAACCACATAACTCGTTCATCTTCGTGTTTAAATATATTTAAGATCATCAACAATCTGAAACCCCCCTTGTTACTATTTATTAAAAAGAGAAGTATTCCTTTCCCTGTGGATACGAACCTTACTACGCTATACTACGTATAAGTGTTGTATTGATATTTATTTTGAGTGCACACCACGACAAAGTGCACGCCAAATTTGGCGTCGTTGCCGGGGAAAGGCAACAATTTTTCTTTTATTTCAAATCAAAAAAAAAATATATAAAAAAAATATAAAGAGTTACTTTTTCTATTTCTGAGCTTTGGGAAGTATATGGTCAAATATCGTTCATTGAACGAAATCACTTATCAAGCAAACCCTGAAATAGAACAAGCCTTCGAGAGGTTGAAAAATTTATTTCCGCACACACCCTCGGAGGAATCCTCAAACGCTAGCTCTAGCGAATCCGAAGAGTCAATCCACATGGCTCTCGAAACAAGAACCTTGAGGGAGCTCACAGCTCCAAACTTGAATCAACAACCATTGTGTATTACCTTTCCTACTCTTGATGAAGGTAATACATTTGAGCTAAAATCTGGGCTCATACATCTATTGCCATCATTTCATGGCCTACGAGGAGAAGACCCGAATAAACATCTTTCGGAATTCCACATCGTTTGCACAAGCATGTGTCCAAACGGTGTTACCGAAGAACAGATCAAACTGAGGGCCTTCCCTTTCTCTTTGAAGGACATCGCGAAGGATTGGCTTTTCTATCTTCCTTCGGGGAGTATCAATACATGGGCACAAATGAAGAAATGCTTCCTTGATAGGTATTATCCCGCCTCCATTTCATCATCTCTTAAGAAGCAAATAAGCAACATCGAACAAAAAGATGATGAATCCTTGTATGAATTCTGGGAGAGATTCAAAAAGCTATGTGCTAGCTGCCCCTATCATGGATACACTGAACAAGACCTCATCTTATACTTCTATGATGGTCTTGTTGATGATGATAGAAGAATGGTGAATGCCGCTTGTGGAGGTGGGATAGTCAATAAAACTCCTTCACAAGCTATAAGTCTTATCTCGGAGTTGGCCGAGAACTCACGACAATTCGGCCGCAAAACCTCAACTCGAAGAGTTCTTGCGGCGGAATCCAGCACAACCACTCTAGAGAGTCAAGTTGCCGGCTTGACTTCTTTGATAAAAGAGCTCCTTTTAAAACCAAAAACTCAGGAGGTAAAAACTTGTGGAGTTTGCACATCAACCGGACACCCCACTGATGCGTGTCCATCACTCCAAGAAGAGCAAGTCAACGCTCTCGGTTTTCAAGGACATCAACAAAGAAGGTATGATCCTTTCTCAAATTCTTATAATGCGGGATTGAGGGATCATCCAAATTTGAGATACGGAAACCCTCAACAAACCAACTCATCTTCTCAACAAACATCTCAATCCAATATGTCAACGGATGACATGATCCGAACTTTGACATCAAACATGGTTACCATGCAACAAAACATGGGAGAATTTCAACAAACCATGATACAATTCCAACATGAGACAAAGTCAAGCATTAAAAATTTGGAAACTCAAGTTAGCCAAATTTCTAATGCCGTAAACCGACTTGAAGCAAAGGACTCGGGTAAACTCCCATCTCAAACGGAGCAAAACCCGAGACAACATGTGAATGCAATCATGTTGAGAAGTGAGATGGCATTGAAAGAATTAGAAAAGGAAGACCAAATTCTTGAGGAGGTTGACCCTGAAGAGGAAGCTCACTCGGAGGAGGGAATCACAAAGGCAAAACTTCCTCCATCTCCATCATATGAACTAGTGGCCCCATTCCCTGAGGCATTGAGGGAAACAAGGAAGCTTGACAAAGATGCTGACATCTATGAAACTTTCTCCAAGTGTGAGGTAAACATTCCGCTCCTTAACTCAATGAAAAGTGTTCCCCGTTTTGCTAAATTTTTAAAAGAATTATGCAAAACAAAAAATAAAGTGAAAGGAAAACAAGAGGTTAAGGTGAGTGAACATGTTTCGGCTCTTTTTCAAAAGAAACTCCCCGAAAAATGTAGCGACCCAGGCATGTTCACCATACCTTGCAAAATAGGAGACACCACATTTTCTAAAGCCTTGTTGGATTTAGGGGCATCCATAAATGTCATCCCTTACTTGGTGTATAAATCCCTACAACTCGGTCCACTACATCAAACCGGTGTAGTGATTCAACTAGCGGATCGTTCTACTACTTACCCGAAAGGGCGTAATAGAAGATGTGCTAGTAGAAGTAGAAAATATGGTTTTTCCTGTTGACTTCTATATCCTTGAAATGGGGGATGGTAACCAAACAACACCTATCCTGTTGGGTAGACCTTTCTTAAAGACCGCAAAAACAAAAATTGACGTGTCTAGTGGTTCATTAACTTTAGAGTTCAATGACCAAAAAGTAGAGTTCAATATATTTGACTCTACGAAAAAACAAATTAAAGATCAACCCCTTTGCTCTTTAAATGTTTTTGAACCACAAGAACCAAAGTTTTTGAAGGAATCTGTTGAAATCCCAATTTTTCAAGGAAAAGAGGAAACTAAAAATGGGAAATCATTTTTAAAG